GAACAAGTTATGAAAAATGCTAAATTTCTGCATAGCAAAGAAGTTCTATTGTGGAGAATTTGGTTTCTAAACCAGTTTCTTGGTGATAATGCAAATAAGCCAAAAGTTTAGCTAGATGTTTGGTTTTCAGGTTGAGTCTGTAGAATCAGAAATTAGGGTGGACTTTCCTTTTCCTTGTTAAATGGGGTCCAGATTCAAAGACGCTCAGAGACTGAGACACACAGAACAAATGTGCAACTTGATGTATTAAGATATGTTTTTCTTCAAGCCTAATTTGGGCCTGCATCTTCCTCAAAAATGGAGCCAATCAGACTTAAATTTACCTATAAAGTACAGTTTACAGATTTTTGGAAACTGGCAAACAAGAGAACATATATGATTGAGCAAGGAAGACATCTTTGAAGTTGCAGCTTGGAAGTGTGTGTATATATACGTACGTACACACAGACACACACACAGACACACACACAGACACACACACTTATGTAATGCCATTCTAACTCTTTTGTAAAGTCACCTGTGAGCCAGTGTCACCCTGTTCTTAGGCTATTTTTTAAGAAAGTAAGAACAGCTTATTCTACTTAAATGTATTTAATTTCAGGGTGCAAGGAAACCTGCAGTTTGTCAAGTAGCTTAAACAGCCAAACAAGATGTAGTGGGGAATGAAGCTCTTATTGTAAAGACTTGGTAGTCCTTTCCATATGAGAAATCCAGGGGTCTCAACTATAATATTCAGACCTTAATACCTTTGTGGCTCTCAGCGAAAAATTAGAGTATCCCCTCTAAACTTACTCCTGATATCATTTTCAGCAAGACCTCCATTATGTAAATCCAATTATATTGTTCCATTCCTTTTAAAGTACTAGTTAGACCACATTTGAGTGACATAGTCCAGTGTGCTGCTCTTCATATGAAGAAAGATGTAGCAAAGCTCCAGAGAGCACAGCAGACTGAGCAGGTGAAAGGAAATAAGCTTATATGTGAAGAGGGATTGAAAAGAAAGGGATTTAACTCTGAGACCGGAAACAGTTAGGAAATGGCAGAACAAGTATTTACGCTAGCTAAGGGTTAGCACAGAGTTATTCCTGATGACCCAGAGGTCAAACAGATGGGGATTAAGGAGGTGCAAGTTTCAGTGAAAAGGGAACATATGCAAGAAGAATTCCAGGAACTACTTCACAGAGGGGGAATTCACGGAATGAATCTGCAGACAAACGGCATTAATGGGTCATATTTATTTACGATATAATTCCACTGAAGTCAAACACCAGGAATGAAAATGATCCAATGCATTTGAGAAGAAAACTTGTTCCACTTGGATGTCCAGTTAAAGGGGATTCATTTTTGTTCCTGGGTACAGCTGACCCCTTCTAGAGGGTAAATCTGGTGGTTGGGGAAGCAACACAAGATTCCACTTTTTTTTTTTTTTTTTTTAAAGCACGTGTCCCTCCTACAACAGCTCAGCCTGGCTAGAATATATCATTTTTTCAGAGGAAGGAGGGTTTTTTTACCCTCCCGAGTCCAAAAAGAATTTAAGAGAGTGAAAGCATTTAAAATAACACCATTTTCAGGCATCTTTCATAATACTTTTTGTTATCTTTGGTGCTTTGTTGTTACTACAATATCTACACTTTTCATAGTAAATTAAAACTGATAATATCAACTCACCCCTTTACAAACATCCCAGTTACAATGCTATGTCCCATTTCTTATACTGCATGCAGCCTGCAAACTTTGTCTCAAAGTATTGGGCATTTTACATTACGTACAGGAAGAAGTGCAGATCTATCAAATCATTCAGTATAGGAGGGACCCAAGGCTGACTTCTAATCTTATTCTTATGCTACTATACCAAAAAGTAAGGATTGTCCAGATATCCCTTTTAGAGACAGGAATTGTGGTTAAACTACAGCTAGGACTATTTCATTAGATGGCAATATGGTGACATGGAACTGCTCTATATTAAATTTAAGAATGTGGATACATCCAGGTCCATAGAATAAAGTTTACCGTGTGGTTATATACCGAGTTATGAGAATACTCTGTACAAATATATTACTACAGTTTTAACAAGGGGTTTGCTGGAAAGACAAGCAAAAAGGCAACTCAACAGCTCCCAGAGAACATCACGTGACAGACTGTAACAGGAGGCTTGGTGTTCCTGCTACTTTAAGTGAAGGCATACTGCAAATGGAGCAGTCTAGAGGTGCTGCAAGGGGCAATCAGGAGTTACATAACCCAAAAGGGGGCTGGGCTTACAGGATACAAGCCTAGAGCCTGAGCTGGGGCATGATCTGACTCTGGCAGCCAAGATGTGAAAAACTCCTGAACAGCAGGGCTGCAGCCAGGCTCCTGGCAAACACCTACGCTGGGGTAAGCTGGTGGATGGTCATGAGATCAAGGAGGATCAGGGACAAAGGGAGAGAAGCAGAGTCAGTGACTTGTAGCCCAGGAGGAGCAAGTGGGGCCAGGGAGCCCCGAAGTTTCAACTGGCCTAGAAGCGGGCCCTGGAGCGGCCAAAGGTCCAGGACAGACCATAGCCAGAGATCAACAGGGTCAGGCACTCGCAGCCCAGAGAAGGTAGAGTCAGGGCCAGGGGTCCAGTGCCTCATGACAGGCAGGATCAGGGTCAGGGATCCAGGGCTGCACTCGGAAGCAGCCAAGAGGAGAAAAGTGCCCAGGTGTGGGCAGAGCCAGAGACAGTTCAGTAGTGAACGATGACATCTGCAAGGTATGGGCATGGTGTAAGGGGTGGTTAGAGCCACGTTATATGCCCATAAGACAAAGTAGAGACACCTGAATACCAACATGGGATTGGAGATCCCTGGGGCAGCCTCCCTTTCAAAAAATCTAAGAACAGCAAGGCATGGTAGGCCAAGAGAAATGGAGCAAGCTGGAGAAGTGAGGGCAGAGCAAGGGGCTGAGCTGCCACCAGGGGGGGATCGTGGCCACCCCTGGAACAAGCGCTTGTTACAAAGACACCCGAGACAACTGGGAAAGCCATTAGCACTGGGTATCCTATATCATGCATCCAACATGTTACAAGCCTTGTTTTACAAGGCTTGGAACCAATGATCAAAGGGTGATAGAGCAGTAAAAGTGATTCATTCTTGGAGACAGGAAATGACCAAAGGAACATATAACATTTAAAGGACTGCACAAAGCAAGAAGAGAAAGAGACGGACAGACCAACTGACTAACCAAACTGATGATAAATTAAGGAAAGAGACTGATCCCGACTCCAGCTGTCTCAGAGTTGGGGGAGGTACTATAGGAAGCTTTTTTCTACTAGCTCCTCCTATAGATGGAGAGGCTATAGGCTAGATATGCATAAAATCCCTTTTGCTGTTCTGTGATAACTAAACAACACTTTGCTGTAAGAAAGTCATTGTCACTGTCTACCACCACTGGCTCCTCTTGGACAGCACAACTTCAGGTATTAATGATAACTCAGGCCTGCCAAGATAAATCTGGTTGATCATAACAGACTGCAATGTCACAGCCTGGCCTGAGAGGGAGAACCACATGACTCAACCCAAACAGGAAGGCAAGAGCAAAAATTTGAGATAGGGGTGGGGAGCAAGGGGCAGAGCTGTTAAATGAACTGTCCATTCAATCATTTGTTTCTGAGAAGAGAATAAAAAGAATGCACAAGCCTTGGTCTCAAATGCTTCTCCTGCTAGTCTATTTTATCTGAAGAATTGTGTAAGCTAAAACTTCAAATCCAAGATGTCCTTGGTATAAGAATGCAGTGGGGAGGAGGAAGTTGAGGGGAAACAGATTAACAATAAGGCTGCAATATGGCACATGAAAGGCACTCTACAAAATACTTCCAGTGCAGTCTGACATTCTGTTTTTAACTCAGATGCTCAGAACAGCAGCGGTTTCAGTAACACAAAGGGGCTTACATGGCCTGGCTGTGGGAAATGAGTTACAAAGTAAATGTTAAATTAAAGCTGATATGGCAAAGTAGTGGGGTCTAGAGCAGAAGGAGCTGCATTGCAGCCTAAGGCTGATACAATGGATACTACTATATACTTGATCACTGCATCAAAGTAGAAGCATCAAATAGTAGCATGTAATAGATATGATCTCTATCTCCCAATCGTCATAAATTAAAGTGAAACAGAAAAACAAAGAGCAAGTTCTAGTTTCAGAGCTGGCAATGAAATATGATGGAATATGAGCCTGCATGTGGATGAAACTAGGTTATTTAGGTTTGGTCATGATATCAGTTCCTAACCCCTGTCCCCCACCCTAGCATTTGGGGGGGGGGGGGCATGCAGAGGACAGGAAGAGAATGCTAGTTTGGTGGGGACAGGGCAGGGGACAAGAGGAGATCCACTTCAGAGAGCCAGGCAATTTAAATATGACCAGACTGGGGGCTGGACAGTAAGACATCCCCCTTTCTCACTGTAAAAACCACTCGGGCTGCTGACAGACATGAAAAAAAAATCTCTTTACTGGAAGAGGCAGCGCATTAGTTCAATTTGGCTCCGCAGCATCTGTATAGATTGTGCGCTTCAACAGCGTTCTTTGATGCTTTTATCTAAAGTTGATTTAGTTATAACACCAAAAATGCCTTGCTGAAGTGCCTATATCTATACAGATGTTGGGCAGGCTGGGTCAAATTAACATGATGCCTCTTCTGGCTATGTGCTGGGCTCAGCATGGAGACATGGTAGGTTTAAAGTAAAGCGCTGCTGGGGGGGGAGGTTACGTTTGTAAGCTGTCTCAGTGCCTACATACTAGGATAGCAGGGACCTCAGAAATAACCAAGGTGAATTTATGAAACTAGCTTAAGGATAACTTGAAAAGTTGCATAAAGTTTTCCTGTTTCTCCCCAGAAACTGTACAAAACCCAGCCACTGTCCTTTTCCAAACTACTGAGCTGCCTGCTCATTATTTTTCTTTATAGGTTAACACGTTCCCTGGAGTGACGTTTGTCACCTGGAACACACTTCTGCATCCAACTACAATAGGAGGAATAAACCTTGTACCTTTTTTCTTTTCTTCGAAGAACTGTCAGGCTGACTGGGCTTTTTATCTCCTTCACATTCTTCTGCTGCTTCCTCCTCTTCTGGTATCAGACTGTACTTGGTCCCTCCAGGCTGCATGAAACATTCTTTGGCAAAATGACCTGCAGAGCAATGTTTGAAAGGCGGGGGGCAGGGGGCGGGGAGAAAAAAAAGTCAAACCCTTCCTTAGTGGGGAACTCCTTTCCAGGATCAATGTGAACATTCAAAATTAGATACCATTTCTATAGTGGCCATTTCGGTATGCCGATTTTAAAACTATAGAAATATCACTTGAATTGACATAACATCCTATCAAGACCAAAGGAATGCAGTGGGCAACTCCCCTTTATCATGGAGCTGCCTGGGCAGAACTCTTCCCTTCTCCATGCTCCCTCGTCTGTCCCGACCACTCTATTGTCTGGCTGTCTATTTAAAGCGTAAACTCCATAAAGCAGAGACCGTCTCACTATGCATTTATACAGTTCCCACTCCAGTGGAGTTCTTGCAACACATCCTGACCCCAAATTCAGTCAGATGCACCTCTGAGAGAGTCATTCAAGGGGTTCTCATACCTACAGAGGTGTTCTTCAGTCACAAACTCCTCTCTGCTGTCTCCTGTTTGACCACTGAGACCACAGTGAGATGCACATGCTTCCTGAGAATTCTTCAGATGTATGTAAATGGCTAGATAAGAAACCATACTTCAGCCTTGCTACATTAGCAAATTTTGTCTAAAGTTTCCTGGGTGTAAAGTGCTTTAGTCTGCCAGTGACTTAGCTTAGCAATGCAGGCTGAAAGTCTGGGAAAAGATCTTGGCTTGGACAAAACTGAAAGCTGAATTCTTAGAGCTTAGAGCTAAGATGCAGAGATAAAGAAAAATAATTGCTCTGATATTTTCTTTTGTTTGTTGAATCTTATATTTCTGTCTGTATCCCAACATACAATTACTGATTTCTTAGGAGCGCTCATTTTTACAATAAATCCCTCTCTCATTCCTTATAGCTTACTTATGGCTGGTGGCAAGCAAGATTTCAGAGCATTTCACCATGCAGACAGGCCTCTTCCATGGAAGTAAGGGATCTGTAATCTCTGAGCACAAGAGCAGAAAAGGGCATGATCTTTCTAGCTGGCAAAATCTCTTCTGTTAAGAGCTGGCCAGACATGGGTGAGACACGTAAAACTGAGATACCCCGGGCCAAAAAGTTGGCTCTGTGGTACATCTCAGTCTATTCTCAGCCATCAAATAGCAGACAGCTGAGGGGCCTGGGACTGAAGGACACCCCCACTGGTGTGAGAGCTCCTTGTGAGTGTCTGTCAAAAGTGCATTTGACTGAGTCTAGGGTTAGGGTAAATAATGAACTAACTTGCCCAGCACTCTCTGAAACTGCTGGATACTGAAGGGGGTGATCATTACATCTATTTGATTTTGTTACACCATGTGCAGAGTACAAGACCATTTGCTCATCAGTTGGAATAGCCTGTGTTAG